TTGCAGCACTCTGCCTGGAACGAAGCTGCTGCGCCCGAACCGTGAGTTGAACGACTCTGATCAGTAGATATCAATCAGCTGTAGAACGCCACAAGAAGTTAGATATAATAACTTTTTTTGCCTCCAGTTCTTTTCCAGGTTGTGTTGCGTATATCAACATAACTTTTAATTTACGTTTTGATAGATAAGACGCTTTGCGATTTTATAAAATGTGGAATACTAATGTTATTGTTATTTAGTATATTATTAAAAGAATGACTAGCTAGGGTAAGGTTACGCGCTTCACAAAGCTTAATCCTCGATACATTCTAGGCTATGTCTGTCCTGCGAATCTTGCCAACCAATATTTGTGTGTGTTTGTGACTTTTTTTTGTACTTTTGTTTGCCTTCTAAATTGTGGGTCATATAAGAGACCTGCCTTTTACCATACTAATTGCTTTTGCATCGCAGGTCATTGTGCAGGACAGCTTGTGCAAATTAGTTTTCATAATACCACAAATATGATATATATTCGTTAATATAGATTCTGCATTCTGACTGCCCTTGGCGTGCGATTCTTTTATCGCCCACAGTCTCGCGTCTAACAACTTGTGTCCCACACGCGATTCGGGGTACAATACCGATATTTTTATAAGGGAATGGTCGATTAAATTCGTGAAGACTTATCTCTACCTTATCGGGCAACATGCAGTTTCGTGAATGGTCTCGAGAACNTGTGTGTGTGTGTGTGTGTGTACATATATACCATTTATATCCCCCCTTAGCTTAATTCAATCTTAAGATTTATCTCTCAGGAGAAATGTTGTATCGAAGAAATGTCAATTGTCACATGGTTACTATAAAAAATCCAAACACCACATAGTGCTCTCTTAAATACGACTAAACTTACGACTTTGTAATTACAGTTACGGAAAAAATGTTCCATGAATATTCTAGAATACACCTTGGCTGCTTCCTCTCTAGATTGAATTAATGATTACAGCTTCCTTTTTGTGTTTGCGCAAAAGCAAATGCTTTCATCAACGACAAAAAAAAAACACTAATTGAGCAGAAAATTGTGTCTGCATGTAGAAGCGTAACTTAATACAAGGCGATGCTTTCGGAAAATTATTTAAATTAATTTTGTACTTTTGTTTGCCTTCTAAATTGTGGGTCATATAAGAGACCTGCCTTTTACCATACTAATTGTTTTTGTATCGCAGGTTATACTTGCATACTTATACTTTAATATATAATAAAATAAAATAAATTAACACACACATACATGCGTACATAAACACAAGCATATGCTCAAATCGATCGATTATCCTGCGTTTCCCTTCATCAGAATCGAGCATGAAGAGTCTGGCGTTGCTGGTCGTCCTGGCGGGGGTCGTTGCTGCCCACCCCACCTCGGACGGTGAGTCACTCGCCCTCATTACGCCGCTGTGATGGGTACTCCACCCTCTTACTCTGCCTACTCCCCCCCATCCCTGACTCTGTTCACCCCCTCCCTCACTCTGTCCACCCCACTCCTCCCCTCACTGCCCCCCCCCCTCCCCTGACTATGTCCACCCCCTCCCCTCACTCTGCCACCCCACCCCCCTCACAATGCCCCCCCCTCCCCTGACTATGTCCACCCCCTCCCCTCACTCTGCCCACCCCACCCTCCCCTCACAATGCCCCCCCCCTCCCCTGACTATGTCCACCCCCCCCCTCACTCTGCCCACCCCAACCCTCCCCTCACAATGCCCCCCCTCCCCTGACTATGTCCACCCCCTCCCCTCACTCTGCCCACCCCAACCCCTCCCCTCACAATGCCCCCCCTCCCCTGACTATGTCCACCCCCTCCCCTCACTCTGCCCACCCCAACCCTCCCCTCACAATGCCCCCCCCTCCCTCCCTGACTATGTCCACCCCTCCCCTCACTCTGCCCACCCCACCCCACCCCTCACAATGCCCCCTCCCCTGACTATGTCCACCCCTCCCTCACTCTGTTCACCCCACCCCCCCTCACAATGCCCCCCCCTCCCCTGACTATGTCCAACCCCCTCCCCTCACTCTGCTCACCCCACCCCCCCCTCACAATGCCCCCCTCCCTGACTATGTCCACCCCTCCCCTCACTCTGCTCACACCCACCCCACCCCTCACAATGCCCCCCCTCCCCTGACTATGTCCAACCCCCTCCCTCACTCTGCCTCACCCCACCCCCCCTACAATGCCCCCCTCCCCTCACTGCTCCCACCCCACCCCACCCCTCACAATGCCCCCCCTCCCCTGACTATGTCCACCCCCCTCCCCTCACTCTGCCACCCACCCTCACCCCTCACAATTGCCCCCCCCTCCCCTGACTATGTCCAACCCCCTCCCCTCACTCTGCCCACCCCACCCCTCCCCTGACTATGTCCACCCCTCCCCTCACTCTGCCACCCACCCCACCCCTCACAATGCCCCCCCCTCCCCTGACTATGTACACCCCCTCCCTCACTCTGCCCACCCCACCCTCCCCTCACAATGCCC